ATCTATGGGGCGCCCCTCTTTCACAGTCACCTTTCCTGGGCAACTTCAGACCCATCTAGGGTCCCCCAAGCAGGAAGAAATTAGCCGCGGGGAGCAGAGGTCCACTGTCGCGCAGCCATGCGGGCACAAAAAACCGGAAGTCCATTTTTCTGAAATTTAGGAGGTTCAATAAGTGAGTCTGCAAAGCAGACTGTCCTCCAGATCAGCATATTATGTTTAAATTGAATATTGCCAATGTATACACTTCTTTTATTATTTATTACACTATTATTCTTTGATAATAGTTATGGAGAAACATCAATATATGTTATCATTGATAACAGTGATAAGTAATGCCTGTCACTTTTTTAGAGTATGAACATAACTTTTAAAACAAATAGTTATTCTAGTGTCACTTTTGTATTGATGAATAATGCTCATTGTGGGCTGCAGTTAATATTAAAAAATATATCTGTCAAGATAATAAGCATACAAATACATTTCATGGTAATCTCAGTCTTAATATACAGAGTAGAAATAGCAGTAACTACATTCCTTATGTTGTTATCATTTTGTTTGTGGAATATTATTTTAATTTGTTACTTATGCTATAATATTTTTGTGTGTGCCTTCTTTGAGTCCCTGCAATTTTCTTAGCAGCATTTTAGGAAGTAATTTTCCATTGCCTTGTTCCTGGGGTTGAGAAAGAGTGAGTGACCTAACATTACTCACCTACCTTTAACTCACAGTTTCCTGGCTTCTAGCCTGGAGCTTTTAACCACATTTCCAAACTGGTTCTAGTAACTTTAATACAGAGCATTTAAATTATCAAAAAATAAATTATTAGTAATGAAAAGACATTTTGTTTTAAAATCCAGACTTGTCTGCAACATGAATTTTGCCTTTTAATATATTTGTAAATCACACATATAAAACAAAATTCAACTTAATGTAACTGATGCAGTATTTCACCTTAGTGAAATTTTAGATGCAGGTAATAGAATCTACTGTGTAACTAATATGGGAAAAGAACTGTCATATGAATGCACACCTGGGACTATACCATAGAGACTGGACGGCTCTATTTGACTAATTAGATGTTATGTCAATCCTGAGGTATAATGAACTGGTCCTCAAGACTTCTGCCAGGAAATGAGAACTAGGAATATGCTCAGGATCACAGTCCTGCTATTAAGGAAACTGGAATTAATATATTTAAAAGTTATTGAACCCATCAAAATGCATTGGCATGCAGGGATTACCAGATTTTTTTTACAAGCAAGAAGCCTCACAGAAATGAGTGAAGTCTGGGACAAAACAATACTTTGGTACGTAGAGCATTTCTGAAATTCATGGTGTGATGAGACTCAGATAAATCATAACTGACTGCATTTTTCCCTTAAGCTCAATTATGTTTACTATTTTATGTTTTGAACATCCGCATTGAATTTTTTTCTTTCCTTTTTACCTTACCTGAACAAGGATTTTGGAATTTGGCTGCTGAATCTTCTTAATCTTAAAACAGAGCAGGGTGCAGACTCATATTTGCCCTTTCTAATTCTAAAATATAAAACCTTCAAAATAGATTTGTCATTTTAAACAAGTTGAGATTGCTACAGTACCAAGCCCACTTTAATTACACCCCTGGGTTGCAGGTGTACAACTACTGCACTTTGTTTTTTAAGCACCATAGGCCCATTAAAAAAAATTAAATCACCAGTGGCAAATTCATAGAATGACTCTCCTTCTGGGAAGCTTAAATTGCCTGACTTGTCTGAATAGTGATATGGATCATAAAAGTTCAGAGAATTACCGCAGTAAGATGACAGCCTCATCCATTTATACTGGATATCTAATGCTCCTGTTTTTTCCCCTTGGAGGTGCATACTGAAATTTGGTGCACAGCTTTTTCCTCTGGACATTTAATAAGGTGTCTGATATTTACTCTATAAAAAAGTGGTTTTATAGCAGATATAACATCGAAGGTGATGTAAGTGCAATAAAAAAAAGTTCTGGCATTTGTAGTAATAGAATGGTACAGGTGATGAATCCTGCTATTAGAAAATAAACCATGTATGTATGTTCTCTGGGACAGTAAAGGGGGCTTTCAGAGAATTATATGGTCTGTAGTCTGGAAACTAATAAGCAAGAGAACAGGCATGAAGAGAAAGCCATTTTTAATTCCTTTCCCTTTTACCAGTATTTGGTACATGTGTAGAATTCAGTTAAATTTTTCATTCTTTCAGGAGAGTAGCAATAGAGTAAATTCAGGTTGCCTAGAAAAAGTAAGTCCCAAAGGCTTTGAAGGCTGAACATTCAGAAGAAATAATGTTCTTGTAATTATACTTGAATATTTGTTTCACATTGATGTATACCACCCAGAGTCACATTTGTTGGAGTTAGGAAACCATATAATTTCTTAAATAAATACATAAATAAACTTCAAAATGATCTGAGTTTTACCATTTACAGCAACAATGTTCTACTGACATATGAAGGATATTGATACTGTTCTAATCAATTATAAAACTGCTCTTTCCTGTATCCATGAAGGGTGTGAGGCAACCTGGCTATTCTTAACTTCAAGACATTTTATAATTTTCATGATGGTATAACTGCCATAGTACCATTTCACTATTCTAAGATCTGTATGAAAAGTGTAGGATTAAGGTTTAAAAGAGAAAAATCACAGGTGCCATATAGGAAAAAAAAAAAATCTGACAGTATTAAGCATTCCTGCCCCCCCCCCCCCCCCGAATGCCATTTTCCCCTATTGTGATCCTTATTCTTCTTGAAGACATTTTAGGAAGAAGCCCATTTTTTATTATGGAGTGGCAAAAAAAAACCTGGTGACAATTTTAGAATTAATTAATGATTGTGTATGTCAAGCTATGAAACATTAGCCCAATGTTGAAAGGTACAGAATATGAATAGAAACTTGGTGGTGAACTGCAAAGAGAAATTAATTGAATTTTTAAATAATAATTGAGATAAAGACATTGATTTAAGGACTATTTGGGACACAAATATTTATAAGAGGTTATTTCATTCAATATAATCATGAATTGAAAAAGAAATCCAAGAAAAAGTGCAGGCTATTTTAGATATTTTTTTTTAAAAAAAGATGATTTACAAAAACAAAAACAAAAAACCCAACAAATTCAACTATGATTTGTATGCCAAATCAAATTTTTACAGCCACAATTTATATATTAATTGTGAAACTGAGACTAAATTGATTTATCAGAAACAGAAGAATTTTGAGTTTGCAAGAAAACCCAGGAAATGAAAGGAAAGTGGGAAAAATTATACTGAAAATTCAGGAAGGAGATAATGTATTAATGGATACTATGAATTTGCAGAAAACTTCCCATGATTTTTATTCTAGTAGAATAAAACTAAAGATATTTCCTTGAAAATAATTGAGGATTGTCTTAAAAATAGAATTTTAAAAAAACTCACAATCTTAGAAACAAATTGTGAATAACCTTGCAATTCTTATGGAAATATTATAAATACAAAATAATGGATACAAGAATAAAATCTCTTCTGAATAGAAATGGCAAGTACACTTCTGAAATTTTTGGCATGATTAAAGAATACGAGGCTGGTGGCAAGACAGTACAATATCCATGAATGTTTGGACAGAAGTATAAAGAATAGGAGGAAAAGAATAAAAGAGCAAAAGATATTGGATCAGTTTTAGAACAATTTTTTACTGACCATATGAATGTCGGTACTCTGAGTTTGAAAATCACAGCTGGTTAAGCTCTGTAAATGAAGATTCTTCAGACACCATGTCTAGCAATTTTCCACAATCCAATTCTCTCCAAATGTTTTGGAGTATAATAACTTATAGCTGTGTTGACTGGTAATTTTAGAAATTGTAACCCCAATACATTTTGATGCCAAAAAGCTAAGCAGTGCCATGATATTGTTTAATGTCAGAATACTTTCTAGGCAAGATAATCTCCTAATGTTCCAGTTATCTTATTCTGTAAGCTAAAACAAAAATGCTTAAGGTATTCACATTGGACATGCCTTTCTTGGAACATGCATCCCTTCTATTTAATGTCATATTTTTTAAAAAATTCAGGAAAGCAGAGATTCTTTGGGTAAAAACTACAAAATGATTTATTTCAGTGTGAAAATATAAGTGTCATGGCTCCTTAATTTCTATTCATGAGTAGTTCATTGTTTAACATCCTTCATGATTCAGCAATTATTAGCTAGACATCCTCTCAATTGTGCAAAGAAATAGAAAGCAAACACCATCATTGCAAATGTCATTCCACTGAGAGCTAATAACTTTCTTCTGAAGATTGGGATTTATGTAACACAGCCTATCTGGCCCGATTAACTGCATGATTTATATTAAAAATGTATCTCTGATATTGTACAATCATTGTCTCTCCACACAGATAGACATATCCTAATTGACAGTCATATCAATCAAAAGATCTGCATGCAGAACAGAAATGTCACCACATCTGCTTGTCTTCATTTAGCAGTACTTAGGTTCTATCGGTTTATAATTTGTTCATTCTTTATATTTGTAATAAATTCATTTTAATTTTCAATAATATATATATATATATATATATATATATATATATATATATATATATATATATATATATATATATATATATATATATATATATATATATATAAAGAATCACAACCGTGAGACCACCAGGAGATAAAAAACTATAATCAGTTTATTTACAATTAAAAGCACCTAGCTTTCGCCGGCCTCCTGCCGGCTTCGTCAGGGTGGCNTTAAATGATATATATATATATATATATATATATATATATATATATATATATATATATATATATATATATATATATATATATATATATTATTGAATAATAACGTAAACAGCGAAGTATAATTGGCGTTCTTTGACTGATGATATTACTTTCTAATCCTACAGCAATGATAGGACTTGGGATAGAGAGATGAAAGCATTTCTAAAGTTTATTTGGCTGAAAAGTTACCTTGTTTGTTTCAGGTTACCAATCTGTCTTGACCAATCAACAGCAAGGATTCCATGGACTCATAGGAATGCAACAGTCTCCCCCAAACCAAAATCTAATAAATAATCAACAGGGAAATCAGGTGCAAGGCATGATGGTCCAGTACCCTGCCATGTCATCTTATCAGGTACCAAACAATATTATAGAATGTCTTATTTTGATATGAAATATTCCTTTTGCTAATAATAACAACAAGAAGTAGGATTGTAATACATGGTAGGATTTCAAATTTAAATTGAATTTGACAGCTGTAGCATCCCAAAAGGATTGTGGAAGTTTAATAAGATGATAAGAAATTGTAGCTTAAATGCTTCCTTACAGAGAACTCCATATACATTTCAGAGAAGTACATTGATGCTTTTAAACTACAGTCCCTCTTATTTTTTAGGAGGGGAGGGGCTTCCAATAAATCTTGACTTCTGGAGACTGCCTAGATAAGTTCCTGTAGGTTTTTTTGGCAAGATTTTGAAAGTAGTTTGTTACTGTCTCCTTCCTAGGGCTAAGAGAGAGTGACTGGCCCAAGGTTATGCAGTTGGCATTGTGATGAGGGTAGGATTAGAATTCATTACCTCCAGATTTCTAGCCAGGTGTCTTGACTGCTGTACCAACATAGCTTTTAGTTCATCTTTAGCTCCTTAATATTAGTTAACTCATAAAACACTATGATGTGATCTCATTCAATTAATGTTTCTTTTCTTCTCCTGGGAGAAAATAAGAGTCCATTTGAATTTAGAAAACCATGCAGAAAACTTATTTCCTATCTCTCGAGTTGGTATGGGGATAGCCATAAATTTTAATGCTACTGTGCTTTGAAGCAGGCAAAATAAATACAAGACACTAATTCCTTTTAATTATTAGGAATGTAAGCTAAGCTTAGTGATTACCAGACTTAATCCACCAATTATTAAGATGTACGTGGCAGACGTAAAATTAGAGTTTATACTAAAATACAAAGGTGAAGTCTTTTTTGAGCTAAGCTCAACTCCTAGTGATTTCATGAAATCATCCAGGTAGATTTATGAACATCATTGAAATCATTTGGCATTTACTTACTTCCCAAATTCTGCTTTGGATAATGTATTTCCATTGAAATAGTAGGCTTTACTCTGCTTAGCTTTTCAAGATCAGCCAGTGTTCACTAAATTAAAATGATGATATTGTAAATCAGATTTCTTTCTGTCATGTTACTCCACAAGTATTAGAAAGCATGTGAGAAGATGAGACACCTTTATTTGTAAAGATATTTTCATGTCCCTCATAGTTCATATATTAAAATAAAATATGCAATTCTATTTGCCTATTTCAATTTATTTTTTCCTTACAAGTGGAGTCTTTGGTAGTCTCTGGGCATGGTAGTTTTCTTGCAGACTTTTCATTACCAAACTAGGTAGCATCACTAGCGCTGATGAGGTTACCAAGTTTGGTAATGAAACATCTGCAAGAAAACAGAGCATTAAGAATTATGTAGTTCAACCCTGAGCTATAAATATTCTATTAGTTCCTTGCAAGTGCGGGAAAAAGCAGTGAGAAAAGGCATAATTTGCAAGAAACACTAGATATTATAGGCCATGACATTTTTATTAATTTTATTTTCTTAGCCAGTTTTCTTTTATTATTCAGTATGAGTTTGAACATTGGCTGTGATAATTAGTGTCAACTGTCCAGTTGGCATTTCCAGAAGAAGAAACTCCTGGGACATAATTTTACCAAGAATATAATATTGGAAAATCTACATTGGAACAAAAGAAGTGAAACCAGCTCTGATTTCCCACGCAAATACAAGCATAGTTATTTCCCCGTTTCCCTCTGAGCCATCCATAGCCCAATACGTTTATCAATCACTTCTGTTCATTTTGTTATAACAAAACAGTTAGCCATGCTCTGTGTCCTTGAAAACTTCCAAAGATGCCTCGGTTGTCTAGATACAATCCCCCACCACCACCTTTGCATTCCATTCCACAACCGCTTCCCTTTTTCCTCAAACTATGAGCGAGGGAGAAAATGTAAGTGAAAGGGCGAATCAGTCTTGCCAATTAGAATCTACTCTGAAGTGAGTTCATTCAGGTTTTTAGATCACTTGTCTAAAGCTGAATATTTAAAAATAAAAATGTAATTCTTCAGTTTTATAAAACTGTTATTAAGTGATAGCTTAGAATTTATTCCATTTGTGGGTTTTGGCCAATAAAATTAATATGCATAAATACACAAGCTATTAAAAATAATATATAATATGCCATTCATAAAAGTCTGTCACTTAAAAGTAATAAATGTTTCTAAATAGCTTCTCAAGCCTTATAACCTTATTGAAAAAGAAAAAAACATAGTATTCACTTCAACTAAATTGGAAATATTTATTTTGCTTTATCACAAATTAGTGTTTCTTGAATAGAATATGCAGCAAAATAAGCTCAGTGTAGCTCCTGATAAAAATTCTTATTCAGAACTCCAGTGCTGCTTTTTTATTTTTTAATTCTTTTTTTATTTCCCACTACATATTGTGGGAAAAGAACAGCCTCTTCTTAAAAACTTCCAGTGTTGAAGCATTCACAGCTTCTGGAGGCAGGTTGTTCCACTGATTAATTGTCCTGTCAGAAAATTTCTCCATTGCTTCTCTCTTTGATTAGTTTTCATCCGTTGTTTCTTGTCCTGTCTTCAGGTACTTTGGAAAATAGCTTGACTCCCTCTTCTTTGTGCCAACCCCTGAGATATTGGAACACTGCTATCATGTCTCTGCTCGTCCTTCTCTTCACTAAACTAGACACCCAATTCCAGCAACCATTCCTTATATGTTTTAGCCTTATCATCTTTTTTGCTCTTCTCTGTACTCTTTTTAGAGTCTCAACATCTTTTTTACATCATAGTGATCAAAACTGGATACAGTATTTCGAGTGTGGCCTTACCAAAGCATTGTAAAGTGGTATTACCACTTCACGTGATCATGATTCTATCCCTCTGCTAATGCAGCACTGTGTTGGCTTTTTTGGCAGCTGCAGCACACTGCTGGCTCCTATTTAAGTGATTGTCCATTAGGACTCCGAGATCCCTTTCACAGTTGCTACTATTAAGCAAGGTACCACCTACACTATACCTATGCATTTCGTTTTTCTTGCCTAAAGGTAGAACTTTACTTTTTTCACCATTGAATTTCATTTTGTTAGATAGCACCCAATGTTCAAGTCTGTCAAGATCCTTTTGTATCTTAAGCCTTTCTTCTGGAGTGTTGGCTATTCCTGCCAACTTGGTGTCATCTGCAAATTTGATCCCTATCTATCCCCTCATCCAAATAACTGATGAAAATGTTGAAGAGCATTGGGCCCAGAATAGAGCCCTGGGGCACTCCACTACACACTTCCCTCCATGTAGATGCAGTTCCTTTAAGGACCACATGCTAAGTGCGGCCAGTCAGCCAGTTACAAATCCATCTGGTGGTGATGCTGTCTAACCAACAAATGCCTTATTGAAGTCCAAGTAAATTATATCCACAGCATTCCTCTAATTTTGTCACCTGGTCAAAGAATGCAATAAGATTTGTCTGGCATGATCCGTTTTTGACAAACCCATGTTGGATTTTGGTAATCACTTTGTTTGCCTCTAGGTGTTCGCTGATTCATTGCTTGATAATCTTTTCCAGAATCTTCCCAGGTATTGAGGTCAGGCTGATAGGTCTGTAGTTTCCTAGATCCATTTTTTTCCCTTTTTTGAAGATGGGAACTACCTCAACTCTTTTCCAGTCCTCTGGTAGTTCTCCAGTGCTCCAGGATTTTTTAAATATATAGTTCAGTGGTTCTGAGATCACATCTGCCAGTTCTTTGAGAATCTTGGAGTGTAATCTGGTGATTTGAACTCATCTACAGTGGAATAATTCCTTATGTGTCTTTTTTTAAGCTGCCCTCCAATGATCAGGGTTGCTTATTTCACTTTTTTAGTAATTTGATGCACACAAATAAAAAATTGCACTTGGATGCTAATTCAAACTAAATATTCTAATTCCACGCTATTGTTATAATTTGTCATTTTTCCTTTTCCATCTCCACTGTGGTTTCGAAATAAAAAAAATTAGATTAATCCACATTCTTTTTCTGAACTCTATGCATGTCAAAGAGAAGTTTTCACAAGATTTTAGACACCCTTATTGAGGATTGTATATTAATATCCTTCAAGTTTTCTTTTTATTCTTTTATTCATTTGTTTGAATCTCAGATTAAAATATTTAATGGAAGCCAATTAATTCCTTAAGTGTTACTGTTGCTGGTTTCTGTTATGGCTAAAATAATATGTACTTGACTCTAAGGATGAAAGAGTAGAAGATTGAAGGTGATACACTTTTCATTGTATTGGTATTTCTTTTCTAAATGCATGATTTTAGAATTGAAGTTGGGAAAAATGGACCAACTATACAAGATGGTTTTCAATACTCTGACCTGTTCATGAAATAAAACAAGAGAGAAGATAGGCTTTTCTATTTCAGTTTGCAGCTTAATTTATTCCTTTCCCCTGTCTTTTAGGTGCCAATGACGCAGGGGTCTCAAGGACTGCCACAACAGTCATATCAACAGCCAATCGTGCTCCCTAATCAATCAGGTCAAGGAACACTTACAGCCACTGGAATGCCCGTTTACTGTAACGTCATACCTCCTTCCCCACAGAACAATCTCCGGCTGATTGCGCCACATTGTCTCTCTAATAATGTTCCTGTTATCTCTGCCAGCTGCAGGACAAACTGTGCAAATATGAATCAGGCTGGATGGCAGGTCAAGTATTGAAACTGTGAATCCTTAGTTTAAATACATAAGGGTAACTGTGCATTTTTTTTCTTTAAAAAAGGGAACTAACTCATGGCCTTCAAATGAAAAGAGGAATGCAACAAGAATAATCAGTTGAGTGGTATAAAAGCTATGCTGCTGCAAATATTTGTAAAACAAAACAAACAAAACATCAGTTGTTTGCTCTTTAATGGTGCATATCTTGGTCATGTCTGCTAGATTTGCTTTTACAGCTTAGCTAGTAACATGAACTCATTGGGGCAGGTTTTTTTCCTACCACTGAACACCACTGTGTAGATTATAATATCCCTAATTCAGATTAGTTTTGTATTTTGTGTTGAGTTTGTGAAGCAAAAAGTATTTAAAAGAAATATAATAAAATTATGATGTACCAAAGTTGTAATGGACATTTTTTAAAAAAACGCTGAATAGAAGGAATACTTTATATACACTATAGAGGGGTTTTTTAATGGATATCTACTGTATTCTGGTGTTATATCACAATAAAGCTATTTGACCTCATGAAAAAAGGTCAACTTTCTACTATCTGTTTCAGTCTTTTTTTATTTTAACACTCCAGACTTTTTTCATTTGCTTACCAGTTACCATTGTTAAGTGAATCTATGCATGTTTTTAAGTGTGGACTTCATGTGACCATGACTTCCAAAAATATCTATTGCCACTTTTCTCGGAGTATGATATTTGCCAAAAAAACTGCTGTTTATCATTCTTTGGTACTCCCTTTGCCACACATTGGTGTGAGAGAGGAAACTACCAAAGAAATTGCTGGTATCTGCACTGCTTTCTTCCTTGCTTTCTTTAAGCCCTCTCCCCAGCATCAGCTCAGCAAAGTTGCCTATAAAAGAGAGAAAAAGGGGAAGATTGAGGTGCTGATGCTGGTAAAGCAGCAGAAAGGAATGTATTTTTCTAGGAGTATTCAAGAGGAGGAGAAATAGCAGAAGGAAGAGTGAGAAGAGTGATGAGCAATCATATGAGTATGGGGACTCTGCTGTTTTGTGTCTTGAGCCCACCAAATTCAGTGTTGTTTAAGAGAGCCTATGACGATCAGTTGTCCTGCTAAAAATGCAGTCATCTAATACTGCAATCTTTGATTTGTTTAGTTTTCGGCAACCAGAAGTAAGCCCAAATTTGTTGTAAATGTTTTCCATATGGTTAGGTCCTCTGAATGCTCCATCTTGTTTTTCTAATTTTTTTTATTGAAGTTTTATTAATAATACAAAATTAAAAACACATTGGACATAGATATGACATCACTGGTTCCATACATCTTCCATCACTTTACAGTAACATTAGTACTCATATAGACATATAGTTCTTCTTTTAAATATGCATTTGTCTATAATCTATATTTTATTCTAACACTATACATTTATCTTTTTGAACTATTTTATTTATCTGAAGATATTAAAACCAATACGATGCTTTCAACCATTTCAAGAAAAGAATCTTAACAGACCTCATTTTTAATTAGAAATTAAATCTTATAATCTATAGGATATTACTTTATAATTAAAATTATAGAAGATCATGCCAAATCATCAATAGCTTTTGCTATATCAAGAAAAATCATACCCTTTTTATTTTTCCAATTAATATTATCAATGGAATTCAAGATATTTCTGGTATTACTTTTCACATAATCATTGAAACAAATCTATATAGATCAACTTTGATCAGGATAAATTAGATTACCCAGAGAACCATTTAACCTCTTTGCAAATATACTTGTGAAATTCTTATCTTCTACAGTCTATAAAGAGAGAAATATATATGGCTTTGGATGAACTGAAGAATTTGTCTCTTTACAAATCAAAGAAATAAAAGCCTCTTGCCATAAATAAGAACTTGACATTGTTATATTTTATTGCTTACTGGCTAAATGATTTCAGGATTCTTATTTTTAAGCTTTATTTATACTGTAGAAAAATCACCTGGTCCTAGAAATTTATTCAATTTTAATTTCAATATTGCTGGTTATTTTTCATCTGTGATTGGGAACTTAATTTTTCTTCTCTGCTATTTCTTTATTATATTTAATTTATTTCCAAATTTATGTGCTTTCATTATAGTTGAGCATAATAATAAAAATATAGCTCATTTCTTCTGGAGCTTAAACATACTTCTTTCCATCTCAAATTGAAATATTTTTTTCTTGAATTCTTTTATCGGTTGATAGCTCCAAAATTTGTCTGCTTCATTACTTTTCTCAAAATATTTCTTTAATGAAATTCGTGTTCTTAAAAGTTTCACTTTCTTACATTAAATTTAGTCAATTACAAATCCCTATATATATTTTTCTAGATCCAGTACTGGACTCTACTTTTGTCTTGGTTCTAATTGTTTCAATTTATTAAAAAAAATCCTTTGGTTTCAGTGTTAGTATTGTATCTTTCTATTTGAAAGCAGAGAAATAAAAGTTTTTCTCATAAATGCTTCATTGAAATCCCATGCTGTGAATATGAAGCATCAGAAGTTAAATTACTTTGGAAAAAGCTTTTTAACTCACACTGACATTTCAATTTAATAACTTCTGGCAATAAAACAAACCATTAATTCTCTACATTTTTGAGCCAGAAGCTTCTCTATGCAATCTTACAATTACTGGACTATGATTTCCATAGATAAGTGCTGCAACTTTGACACCTACTAGATTAGTTAATAAAGAATTGGACTCCAACATATATCTATTTTCAATAAGTTTTTTGAATGGAAAAGTAGTAGATTTAATTTTCCTCTAAAGGATATTTATATCTAGAAATCTAAGTAGAAAGTAAAGGCATAAAATCCAAAACATTTTGGATGTTATGCTTTTTGCATGAACCAGATTTATCAAGATTGAAAATATTCATGTATATAGGAATGAAGAGCCTCAAAGAGCCTCCTTCTGTAATTTCAATAAATATTTTAAAATAACTATAATTAAATTTTAAAACAATGTTTTAAATAAATTTCTTTTGTTATATTACTTTGTTGTTTATATGCACATGTTGCTTGTATGTTTGTATATACACTGATTATATTATATTACCTTTGATAATATACAGTGTGCTATATACCAAGCGCATTAGTTTAGGCAACAAACTTTATGAACTAACATCTGTTATGTACAAGGATAACTTGGATTTTCTTGCAATTACAGAGACATGGTTCAGGGATTCCAATGATTGAGATATAAGTATACTGCACTACATACTATACAGAGCAGTAGTAGAAAAGACAGAGTAGAAAATAGGGGAGGTAGAGTTGTCATTTATGTCAGGCATAAAAGCAACACAAATTCAAAAAAGACATGATCTACTTGGCACTGTCTGGGTTTGTTTACAAACTGAAAAGATCATCAATCACTAGAACTGGTGTCACATGCAGGCCCCCAGTACATACAGAAGATTATGATAGCATTCTGGTTGAAGAAATAACCCAGATAGCAATGAAGGGAGAGGTTATAATTGTGGACAATTTCAACATGCCCAATGTTGACTTGAATCTTTCAACAAACGGATATGTTAGAGGCAACAAAAGGTGGAACCTATAGGCCAGTGAGCTTAACACTCCTGGAAAAAAAGCATTAATGAACATTTAAAAGATACAAGTTGATGGACCCAAAGTAGCATGGATTTACTGAGGGCAAATCATGACAAACTGATCTAATGGACTCTTTTACTATGTTACAAATATATTGGATGAAGGTGGTGCTATGGACATAGCCTATCTGGATTTTAGCAAAGAATTTAATACAGTTCCACATAATAAGTTCATTAAAAAAAATTGTACAGGCTAGGACTTAATCACTGAGTGGTCCAGTGGAATAAGGCATTGGCTCAAGAATGATCTCAGCGTATGATTGTTAATGGGGCACTATCTGAACAGACACCAATCACAAGCAGTGTACCACAAGGTTCAGTCTTAAGTTCTGTTCGGTTCTGTGTGTTTGAAAGTGATATAAGGATTGTTAGGCAAGGTTTGTCTTCTTTCTGATGATACTAAGATGTGTCATAGAGTTAATATTCCTGGGGGTATTCATAATTGGAAAACAATTTGGTATTGCTGCACAAATAAATAAACATTAATAATTTAAAAAATAAAGAAAACAACAAAACAAGCAAACAAAAAACTCAAATGGCAGACTCAATGGACTACTGGATCCTTTTCCACTGTCAGTTTTCTGTTTCTATTTTGACTTTGTTATCCTTAAAAAGGGGGCAGTGAAGGTTTTGGATGACCTTTTAAGATTCTGCTAATACACCTATAATGTAGTTTTATATTTTACTTTATATTTTATCCTGTTAACTCACCCTATAAAACTGCATTCTTATGATTCTACTGTTCCTTGAGTTAGTTATTAGGAAGGGGTGAGAGTATAACTACTTCATTTTTTTTCTTTTCACCAGAGGCCACAAATTTTTCATCTAAACCTTTACATTCTAGCATATTAAGATTCTTTAAAAATGTGTCTTTTAAAGATGCTGGATAGATGCTAGATAGATAATATAGATAGACAGATATAGATGGGGATTTCAAATATTTTTTTTTTAATTTCAAAAATATATTTTCCTTTTAAATGGAATATAAATACATTAATACTTATTGAGAATATTTTTATTTGAACCATAGTGTCATTTATCAATTAGATGTATGATAGAAAAGTTGCTACTGGATTCAGTTTTTGTTCTTCCGAATCTCTTTTGGCTTGTTCTGTTACTATAATTAAGTCTCCTGGCTTTGATTAAAGCCCTTTACACAAGTACCTGTTTGAGGGTGCGGTATGGGGTTAATGGGGCTCTGACTAACAGGATTCACACAAATAAAGGGATAAGGCAAGGGTGTATCCTGGCCCCATTATTATTTAGTTTATATATCAATGACTTGCCAGGGTTAATGAAGGATCCCATGGTACATATGCCGATGATCC